TAAAATATACATGCTACTTTTTTGGCATACGGAGTTTATCTTTAATTAGTTATTGATTTGATTTTGGCTATTGTTAACTCAGTTGTGATGTGAGGAAAAGCAAACATACGCAAAGAATGGCTGCAGTAGAGGGGTGGGATGAGTCCTGTTGGAGTGTTTCAAGTTTAGTTTGTCATCTAATATCAAAACTAACCAAAGTAACTGGATGTTTCGGAGATACTGGCGACGTTAAACACCAGTCCAGAAAACGTAATGAAAAAGAAGAGTCATTTAGGAGTGAAGCTTGGGTAGATATCGGAGCTGAGGTGTGTACTGAATGACTCTTGATTGCAGGATGCCTTAGAACAAATAAGCAGTGCCCTGCACACTTTGTCACGCCTCATTTTGTTGGGATTTTATGTGATGACCAATACGGTAGCTTAGAAATGTGAGGTGAAAAGAAAAGCCCACTTGGTTTTCAACTGATTTTGTGTACGATGGAGAGAGAAGCAACAGCAGAAACCGACGTGGAAAACAGCAACCGCCCTGACAAAAAGCGAGCTTTGAGAAATCAGCCATCAGTTTCACCTCCTAACTTTGAACCTTCGTTTGTTTTTTTTTGTTTGTTTTTTTTTCACTTTAGTTTTCCATTGCGAAACTTTGCTACTATATGTCTAAGGTCTCTAACAAGAGACCACTGTGTTGGTTTGCAGTGCCAGATGACGAAATGCCCTGGGTCATGTGATCCGCAGGCAGAACCTTATGAAACATGTTTCACCTGAGCAGCAGAACAACCTCTCACTGGCGCTCTCTGCCCTTCAGGCTGGTGTTACGACGAGTGCCTACGGTGAAACTGTACCGTAATCAGTCGACCTTCTGCGTCTGCCAACTCGCCTCGTCTGTTTTCATCACGCAAAGTTGTCAGTCCAAGACTGTTCACGTAAGAAGTGGCTTAATCTTCGAGACGAGGGTTTTTAAAAAAAAAAAATCCTCCTTTTGGCTGCTCGGATCTATTTTTGGTCCGTCTGCTTAAAATTCTGCACAAAGCAGAGTCTGGCGCATGAATGCAATCACACTTCAAAAATATCCTCCATCACTGCTCTGCAGCTTTATGGCAGGCAGGCATCTGCTGTATGCAGCGGTTATGTAGCGGGGCGTCGCGTGGAGTGGTGTCAAAAAGGTCAGACGGGCTTGTGTGGTCCGCCGAACGCAGCTGAAGCTTTTGTCATTATTCACTGAGCGGTGCAACGACTGAGATGAGCCTTCTGGTCTCAGAGTCTTACATCATCATGAAAAGATTGTTTCCTGGGAGCACAAAACAATGCTCTTCGGAAAAGTTTCATTTTCAAAAGTTTCACTCAGAAGGTATTTCATGCGTTCTCTCCGAGAGATGAATGCTTGAAATGGCTCATTAGTCCTTCTTGGGTCTGCAAGCAAAACAAAGTGTTCTTGAGCTTTAAATCACACACAGCAGCAGGGGCTTAGGACAACTCGCTCGTGAATCAAATCACTTCACCTGTTTTTATACGCCCTGCTCAGAAACAAGCGCTTTGCACCAATGAATCACCGACAGCTGCTGAGAATCACAAGGAGACGAAGGGTCGATGCGCTCTCTCAAAGAAAATCCACTTCAAAGTCATACTGAGATTTAAGATTTATAACTAATAAATGCCTGCAATTAAATCAATCTGCGATTAAGCTTAAAGTGATCAAATTTAGACAGCTTTAAGGACCTTTTGGCCAGAAGCATAACTGGAGGTGGTCATGGGACTTTTGGTTGCTTGATCCAGATGTGTTATATTTATCTGGACAAGGCGTTCCCATGCCCCTTGAGAAATTTTGCGGTGTTGCTGCTGGATGGTGCCGCAGATGTTATGAAGGGGTTTCTGATCCCTTTAAGCTCAAAGCAAGAGTAGCGTCCGCTGCACAGTCAGCATAAAGTCGATGCTGTTCCCAGCGGACTGTCTCAGGGCTGTTTCTGCCCTTCAGGATGTGGAGCTGAAGTGATGGAGAGAGAGAGAGACTGCTGGCTGGTTTGGTCTCAGGGCGTCAGCTTTGCTTTTTGAAGACGTTGTTGTTCGGTTTGCTTTTTCAACCTCAAGCGTGTTACTGAAGAGGCTGGAGTCAGAGGAAGCTCCTCCAAGTCTGAGGTCAAAGTTTGCAGCCTGAAAACTATGGACCGCCTCCCTCTTGGTTGGGGAGTTTTGGTTTTAACATCCTGCTCATCCAGTTCTCTGTCCAGAAAACCTGTTTCTGAAAACCGCAGGTGTTTAGTTGTCAGACGGATGTGAAGCTCAGTGACAGCTCATCTTAAACTTTCTCACTCTGGAGAATCTGGAGCTGAAAGAAAGATGCTGAAACATTTAATTACCATGTTGAACAACAGCACATACAAATTACCAATAAATCAGAGACTTCTTCAGCTCTGATCCCGGAAGAAGAACTTTTGCTCATTTAATTTTGTTCATTTGAAATGTAAAACCTCTCTTGTGTGGATACCTGTTATGGCCCTCTAATAGACTCTGCATGGTTCCTTTACTCTCTTTTAACTATGAAAGTATCAAATTAGAAGTTAGCAGTGTTGGGAACAAGGCCTAACCAGGAAAGACCTGAATGCCAAAATGAGGATGTCTCATTGTGTTACAATACATCTAACATCAGATGGGGACATTTGTGATCAAATATTATCCACAGTAAGACTGACTTGTTAGACTGTCAAGAATCAAAGCACAGTCCAGTCTCGGGTATTTTTTTTTTTGGGGGGTATTTTGTCATGCAGGGTGTGTGTTCTGGGAAAACAGAGAGCGGGGAGGGGATGAGAGCGATGCTTCCCTCCCCGGAGCTTTGACCTTCCTGACATTTACACATGACTGACATGAGCCTGAAATGTGGCCTCCTGCGCTCAGATAATTTCTCAAACTGTCAAGCTGGACGGAGGGCAGACTGCATAAACAGATTCAGATTTAAATACTGGGATGTGAAAGGGTATACAGCTCAGAGAGTCAACTGCAGCTAACGCTGAGTGGTTGGGAGAACTGATGAATATCAACTCATACATAATCTTCACAAGGGAACTTGCTGTTGGGCTTCTCTTTATTTACCAGCGACGGAAATAAGGGTCAGTTGATGGGAAGAAAAATGGAGATAGATACAAGAAGAGAAACCTGGCAAGGGCTTGAAAAGACTCAGAAATGTGACTGAGGTTAGTTGACTTTCCAGGGTGACAACAATCCCAAACACACATCCACCACCACAACTGAATGGTTCTGATCAAAGACAATTATCTCCATCCAAATCTGACTCATCTTGAGCTAATTTTTAAAGAACAGATAAATGATCTCTACAAGTGCAAAGCTGCGAGATGTTTCCTCAAAGCCTGCAGTTGCTCATGCGGTGAAAGTGGTTATGCAACGGCTTCACTCAGGGGGGGTTGAACACATCCTGCACACGCTGCACTTGTCCAGATTTTTTATTCGTAAAGCAACAGGAAGCAGAAAAAATTGTAATTTTCTTTCACTTCAAAATTCTGCACTAAGTTGTGTTTTTTTTGTTTTTTTGTCACATATAATCCACATAAAACACGTTTGGATTTCAAAATCAAAGGGGCATTCATCATTTTGCAAGGCACTATATGAAATGGAAGTCTTAATCAAAGTGAAAGTGCCAAAAATGTTGCTCAGCTTTAAATACACAACGTGTCATGTGAGGTAAATCTTGTTCATAAAAGTGAATTGGTAGTTTTTGTTTTATCAGATGGTGGAAGGCTGATAGGACCAGGCATGTCTCCCCTCTGAATGCCTCCATGACTCCAGTGCAGGCATGGGGCCTCGCAGCAGCAGCAGCAGCAGCAGCAGCAGCAGCAGCAGCAGCAACAACACAGCTTGTGCTTCCACCTTTACAAGAGACACTGCTTCGCTAACAGGCATCTGTAAAAACCCCTCTCCGCCTTTGGAGGTGCTCCCTCTCCGTCTTCACAACCTGATGTAGAGGAACACCGCAATGTCTGTTTCACGCACACAGAGCCAGAGATACTTGATGACATTTAGTATCACAATTTTATTACAAAAATTAAATTTTTCATCTGTCAGTTTTGCCATGCTTGGAGCATATAACAATACAGTAAAAAACCCAGACCCAGAGAGGATAGTAAAGCAGATTTCAACAATGCTTTCACAGCACTCTTTCAGTCATGCTGTTACTATACAGACACTGTAACATTCCTAATACAGAGTAGTACAAACACCTGCCGAAACACGTCATGTCAGATAACAAACTGTAAGTGAATCACATTTACCAACGAGAGAGAACAAGAAACTTAATCCAGCTCAAGAAACAAACAAAACAACAAAAAAAAAGAAAGGAAAGGAAAAACACAAACTAGTAAACACTGAATTTGCAACTGAAAACATACCAAATGTGCTGAATGTTTGTACCAGCCCAAGGCACCCAGGCTTTGTAGCAATGTTGGCAAGTTCACGACATTCTTACAGGGAAAAACTTGAAGCGAACGATGATTACAAATCGACTTTTACCCGCAGTCTGACTTTTTGCAGAGTCCTTCCTCCTTTGCAGTGTCCTCTTAGTCAGTCACAGTGCAAGTTCCGGAGGGTGGAGAGGGTGTGAGGGTTGGGGGGCGGTAGGTTGGGAGGGTTTGGGCATCGGGCCGAGGAAGAGGAGGCTGGGGGGGTCATTAGGAGCTGTACCGCATCGGACATCATTTCACAGCGCCAAACACTGACAAAAATTGGATGGACAGCGTAATCTCCCACTGCCGGAGGAAACAGGGAGGGTGTGGGGGGGGGGAGGCTAATGGGACGGTTTATGTAATTCCTCACTTGGATTGTGAATCGTAGAAACATAAGGTGCAGATTGCCAGCTGCCAGTCCAAGACGAAAATAAGCCAGAACGAAAAGCTTAGGTGTGCTTTCAACTGAACATCCAAGAAAAAAACAAAAAACTACAAACAAAAAAAAACATCAGATACCAATTTTGAGGAATGAGATTTTCTTTTTTTGTTTTTGTTTTTCCTCCCCCTTCTCAAGTTTGGAGGCGTTGTTTTTTGCACAGGAATACCTAAGAATGACATAAATCCCAGATTTAAGCTTACCAATTACTCTCTAAACAAAGGTCAAATGAGGACAGGAACGACAAAAGCTCAGAAATACACGGAGGCCTTTTTTTTTCTTTTCTTTTCTGAAGCAAGAAGCTGCGACTCAGTTGATTGAGCTGCACGGCTCGAAGGTCCATTTGGTGGCACCGCCAAATATTTCAATGTTGCTCTCTGTCCAGGAGAAGACGTTACCGACAAACGCTTTGCTGTTGCAGTTTGCCAAGTTGGCGATTTCAGTGGCTGAGAGTTTCCTGTTCCAGATGTTTAAGTGTGCGAGTTCGCCAACGTATGCTTGTGTTGCATCAAAGCCTCCACCCAGCGAGTCCTGTGGATCGACAACAGAGCACCGTCAATGTATGAACCTAACTTCCAAGGGCTTTTCACATTTTGTCTCATTACAACCATAAGAGTACTTCACACAAATTGTGACATGGAAGAAAGCTGACGTATAATGTTTAAAATGCGAAAATTGCGTTATGCTTTTAGGATGCCAATCACGTCGTTAAATAAACCAAAACCCAGCACAAACGATTCTCTCCAAAAAGTCACCAAAACAGCAAATCCATCCAGCCTGCCTGGATCATTAAGCGTTAATCAGAGAAGCAGCCAAAATGCCTAGAGTGACTTTACTGAATCTGCAGCGGAGGTGGGACAAGTCATGCACTTCCACAAATCTGGACTTGATGGAACAGCATCGGGAAGTAAGGCACTGTTGAAATAAAACTATAGAAGAAGGCTCATTTGCAGGTATAGGCCTCGGGGGTAACACTGGAGGGAGGAGCTGCAGACTAAAATAGTCATGCACTCGATAAACCTGGCTCGGAAGTGTGGAGAGGGTAAAGAAAACGTAAAGAAAGTCATAAGAAGTGTTGTTTGTAGGTTCTCCACACACCGAAAAGGAAGCTGGTAAAAGGTGATGGGGAGAGATGGGTTCAACCAAATACAGAGTAAACCTGGAACAAAGTCTGCAAAAAGTTGCAGAAAAATTTAACTAGGGCAGAAATTCACCCTAAACATACAGCCAGACCTATCAATAATGTTTGTTTGTAAACAGTTTTTCATTTCACTGCTTATGCACCGGGATGTGTGCATAAGCAGGGATGTCATTAATCATGAGCTGAAGGTTGATGAATGCTTCTTTTTTATTTTAAAGTGCTGAATTTAAACATTAAAATATGATAACAAATAGTTTTGTGGTTGAAAAATCTTTAAAAATTGTTATGAAACAACGGCATTATGTCAAGCAGTTTGTCCTCAGACACAAGTTTATTTTGCACTATAAAGAGAAAGAGACAATATAAATGAGAAGAAATTAGCTATTACCAAAGTTCAATACTACTTCGGTGTTTGCTAATTGAACTCTACATCTTTAATGAATCATGCTTTATCCAAATTCTCAGAATGAAATTATGCCTCAAATCTCAAATGAACACAGTAATTAGACAGCTGAAGCTTAACCGGACTCCTCTCTAAGTGTCCCCGCAGTCTTATTTTGTGAATATCTCCACCTCTAATCTTTCTTGCGAAATTAAACAGATAATAAGTCAAAGGGTTGTTTCCACAAGACGTCTGCGAGGGATTTGGGAGCAGAGGTTGCGGTTTTTTAAATAAAAAAAAAAAAAGAAAAAAAAGAAGGAGTATTCACCTGCTCTTGTCCCAGAACCAGAACTCCATCTGCTTTGATAGGGTGATACGGTGCCAGGTTCTCCCCGTGGCCCTGCTTCACTCCGTCCTGGAAGGCCTCCCATATCCCGTCGCGAATGGTCCACGTGATGCAGAGGTGATGCCACTTTCCGTCGTTGATGCTGAACGGCAGTTTTGCAACCTGAAGAGAGGAGATAATCTCCTGAGTGCACCGTCTTTTCATGTTGGTAACAATATCCTGTTCAGGGTACACAATGGTATGAATGATCAACACCCTCTCATCCTTCTGCTGAATCACTTCCTCTCTCACGTGTCTCGCCTTTTAGGTATTTATATAAAAATAGCCTCTATTGAGCAATTCATCACCTGTTATTATCCTGGTTTTGGTCTGGCCTTTCTGACTCATCCAAGCACAATAAAAAATAAAAAAAAAAGCGATGAAGCATTTTCCCACAGTTTGGACCTCTTAAAGCTAATTTGTGGATAACCTCAATCAGCCACAGGGTCTAAATCCAGGCGTTAGAGACTCAAAACTGACCTTGTCGTTGATAAGGAACTCCATGGGGTTGTTCCCCCACTCGATCAGCACCAGCTCGTTGGCTTGGCCTGGAACTGCGTAGGAAAAGGGCGTCCCCAGGCCGGGTGAGGCGCTGGACTTGATCCACAGACACACGCTAAAGGAGTACATCTCGGGGAGAGTCCTCTTGGCTTTGGCGTACATGTAGTTGGTCCTAAGAGGGAAGGTGAGCTGGAACCTGTCTGCTGGCCTGGTCTCTTTGCCTGCAGATGAAAGGGATAAGGAATTCATATGTTGATTATGTAATCCCTGGCATAATGTAACTACATTCACATTGGTGGAGTTAACTTACAGAACCTCTTAAAGGAGCAGGCTTCTGTTTATTTCGCTTTACAATGAAAATGTTTACATATACAGTAATGCTAAAATATGACATATATTGGCTATAATTATGTTTAAACTGATACATAATTTAATGTGTATGTTTAATATTAAGTAGGTAACATTAAAAAAAAAGCATTACAAACATGCTGAAATTCTGTTCTGGATTTTAAGTTTTGGTTGCCACCCTATAAGTTTTAGTAATTAGTTTGAATTGGCTTTAAATGGAAGACCTCCATACAGTGCAGGTATTCTAATTACATCACATTTCTAGAAAAAAA